CTGCCTGGCAGTACTAGGGGCATTGGTTCAAATCCCTCCCACTGCACCACCTGCCTGGAGTTTGCATGTTCTGGCTGTGTGGGTTTTCTCTGGATACTCTGGTTTCCTTCCACACTCCAAAGCAGGGGTGGACTGACAGCTCATGTGGTCCCCAGGCAATGGGGATCATGGGGCACCTGTGTCCTTGCCCAAACTAAACAAAAGCCTATGAAAAAGGTACCAGGGGCATCTCATGGGGTCCCCTACTGACCCTGGGCCCTCAGGCAGTGCCCGAGTTTCCAAATGGTCAGTCTGCCCCTGCTCCAAAGACATGCTGGTAGATTAATTGATTACTGTCTGAATTGACCCTAGGATATGTATGCATGTAAATTAGGGACCTTAGATTGCATGCACCTTGAGCCCTGGTTCACAATGATGGGGTACAGAATTTGCAGCATTTTCAGACCACATCACAATCGCACCCCGTTCGTATGAACTGATGCAAGTGTGTATGTTAAGTTAACAACACCCCGACATCGGTCCGCAAAACACGGTGCAATGTGCAGAATTGGATAGCATAGGTGTGAATACCTATGCGATTTGATTCTAGTGTGGACCAAAAAAGGGTCCTGCACGTTTTTGGTGGGAATAGAGCCATACAAAATGTATGGCTCTGATCACACTGCATACAAATTGCATATGATTTGTACAGGAATGTGGTGCGGTTCCTGTGCGAATCACATGGGATTTCCTCACTGCTGTAGTGTGAACCTAGGTTGAGGGTTAGGGACTGATATGAATGTACAATATATATGTAAAAGTGCTGCGCAAATTGATGGTGCTATATAAGGCTAGGTTCACACCTGTGCAGGATGCATTTTGCATTTTTCTCCTTTGTGCTAGGCAGATTTAAAATGCAAAACGCATTGAAAACACTGCAAAAACGCACTACATGCTTTTCTGCAGCGTTTCCATTGAAGTCTATAGAACCAATAACGCAAGTCCCTGAACCTTTCCAAAAAACGCACTGGGTGAAAATGTGGAGATGTGACCATGTCCCACAGGACATCTTATTAAATGGACTGTACTGCGTTTCTGCAAAATGCAAAACGCTGCGGAAAAGACTAATGCAGGCCATAGACAGCTCGAAAACCGTGCGTTTTTTCGACCGATAAATGAAAAATCGGTTGTTCGTTAAACCGACGTAACCACCAACGATTATGAAAATCGGCCGACCAAGTCATAAAGTTCACCCCATATAACAGGCAAAAACTTCTGTTCCTTCCAGGTCACGGCTCATGTGCATATTTTTTTTCGTAAAAACGATTGTACGATTTGGCCATCATTGATGTGAAAATCAGTCGTTTTCTATAAATTTTCCAACATGACCGATAGTTCAAAAGTGGAAAAAACACGAAAACCGGCCGACGAATTAACCCACTAATAATGCGAAAATCGGCTGATTAATCTTTCGGACGAAAAATCGGCCGATTTTTGAACCGTCTATGGCCGGCATAAGTACCTGTAATAAATAAAACAAACAGCCTTCCACAGTACTCCCTACAAGAGCCTGCATTGGTGATGAAAGCAGTGGGCTGGCTCTTGGGAGACTTTATGCAAATATCAAAATGCCTTGATGGATGGGCATTCCTAGACAGACTGTATATGTATGCAGACTGCCCTAGGTAACACCCGCACATGTTGCTGAGCCGCTATGATAAGAGACAACAACATACATTCATTCCTGGAAAAAAGGAAACACAATGGCTATGTAGGTCCTACTTTCTGGACATCTTAGTACCTATTTTCCTCTTTCCACTTTCATACCAGTTCTTATCTCTCCCTTCCACTCTCTCTGGGTCACCCCCCTTGGATCAGAATACCAAATAATTATTCCTTTTACCTGACACACAAGACAACCAAAGCCTAAAGCAAAGGGTGTACCCACATTCTCTGGACAATACTGCGGGCCACAAGGAAAAATGCCTAGTACACACAATGAGAATATCAGACGAAAGATCATCCAATTTTTTTTGCTTGCTAGTCTCATATCAAAAACAAATAGGTTACTAAATATGCAAAAAATTCCCATACAACATAATACAAGTTCCCACATTCGTAACTACATTTTAGCGTGTAATTGAAAGTGATGTAATGTACATGTGACCCCTCTTCTAAACACGCCAGCAGTCGCAGGCCTATCAACATGATAACAAAGGGATTTCTTACTTTATTATAATGACAAATTGTGATTTTTTTCATATTACACAACATTTTTTGTATTGTGCGAGATTTGTTTGCATTGACTCTTTTATTCGGGTTCATTCTTTCGTTTCTGATCATGTGCAGTCTTTGTCCCTCGACTATTTTCATATAAATACTATACTAGTCACACAAAAATCGTTAGTTCTTGCCAAACGAGAAAAATTGTCGTTCATGTTCCTTCGAAAACTTTCATCTGAACTGTCATGATTGGACATCGGAAGCTGCGTACTAACAATTGGATTATCGAATGATCACTGTGATTGAGGTTATTTTCATCTGATTTTCTCATCTTGTGAACTAGGCATTAGGCATTCTGGAGGTTATGTGTTTTTTCCCCATCTTTCTTATTATCCGCTCCCTTTCATTTTTTTCCCTTCTTGTACTCTTAAACTCTATTGAACAGTCTTTGAATAATTTTGTCTCTGTACCACTACAGGGTTTGCAGAATTGAGTACATTGGAGCTTTCCTCCCTACAATTAATACTTTTTTCTGCATCTTATCAAATGCTTAATATTTTCTAACATGCTTAAGAAATAAGAGATAAGAGATCTCGTATTGTTACCATAGCTTTTCATATTCATGTGTACAATATCTGTCTTAATTGAACTTTCGGTGATGTTCCTTCATGTACAGTATATGAGCAGTATTATTTCTGCTATTTTTCATCAAAACATTAAAAAAAAAAAAGAATGTTTTAAAAAATGTATATCTGAAAAGTTATAGTAGATGGTAATCCTAAGACCCCAATCAGATCTTGCTTAGTGGTAATAAGCATTTCTGCTTGTGTTGGGCTCCTGCTCCTTTTTGGCCAACAAGCTTTGTGCATTTTGTAAAGGTACATTTTGCCATGATTTCTGCAGGAATCTGTTGTATGACTCGCACTGCAAAATTGCACCACAGTTGGGGTGCTATTAGAAATGAATGGCACTCAAATGTGTGTTGCGCATTTTACAGCTATTTTACTGAGATTTGGCATTGCGGGCAGTAAGGTTGTGATTCTGTTGGTAATTCCAAATGGCCAAGTGTGAATAAGGCCTAAATGGATAATGTTTAGTTTACTCTGCGCACTGCGTATCATAAAGAAGAAAAGAAAAGAAAAAATTAACACCAAAAAAAATCTCATAATGCTTTTTAAAGATATGCATGAGTAAAGGTTTTTTTTCGGTTGATGTCACAGAGCAGCTCCAGACTCTGGAAGGATTCTGACCATATTGTCAGGATCCACCCAGTTGCCTGATGAACAGCTGGCTTTGTCTCTCAGTGCTCAGCTGGGAGCGAAGCCAGCTGCGCCAGCCCCTGGGTGTGTCCAGAAGTCATGACGTCACCACGCATGCATGCATTAGAACAGCATTCGGGGTATTGCAGTGCCTTGTTGCAGATTGCTCTATATTCCTGTACTGGTGTTTTTACTTGAAAAAAGCACTACTTGAATATTTTACACTATGAGAGCTTGGCTCTCTTGTCTTCTTTCTTTCCTGAGCATTGGCCTGTGCAAGCAAGTCTGAATAGGGAGTGGCGAGTTCCGTTGTACAGTGGTTCTTTTACCATTATACACAAGTGTTTTTTTACTCTTTTTCCATACTAAGAGTCACAGGCCATCTGGTAAGCTAACAAAGTTTATGTGTCTTCATGAAGCATTGGGTATTTTTTCTTTTATCATCTGACACAGTCACGGTGATGTTCCTGGAGAGGAAGAACTTCTATGGTGTTAGACTTTATCTTTTGACATCTTTTTTTTTTTTTATATACATATTTGTTTGCACTGTGGTTTACAAAGCACTCATTTTTTTAGTTCACAGTATTGAAAGATTGATGATGTTACTTGATATCTAACATTCGTATACTGGCGTAGTTTTATGCTTTTATATTTTGTTGTGTGTCTATCCTGCACATCTATTTTGCTGCTGCTCACCTAATTTAGAGTTACCATTTGCTCAGTAATTTTTTGCATGTTTAATTCAATAATATGTCACACTGTATCGTTATGATTGGCCAAAGTTAAAGTCGCAAAATATAAAAGTCGCATGAAAGTTGCATTGAAGTTGCATCAAGCCACAATGCAAAGTCACCCTGAAAGTCACACTACTTTGGGGTTGCAGCAGTGTCAACCGAGCCTTAAAAATAGGTGACTAATGCTAACAACTGTTGGGAGGAATTAAGTCAGCAAGAAAATTATACATATATAAACCCACATAATATAAATACTACCGTATCTTCTGGCGTATAAGACGACTGGGCGTATAAGACGACCCCCTACTTTTCCTGTTAAAATGTAGTGTTTGGGCTATACTCGCCGTATAAGACTACCCCTCTTCCAATGCACACCAGTGGGAAGAATCGTGCCCCATCATTGGTGTCAGCGGGAGGAATAGTGTCCCATCATTGGTGTCAGTGGGAGGAATAGTATACCATCATTGGTATTAGTGGGAGGAATAGTGCCCCATCTTTGGTGTCAGTGGGAGGAATCGTGCCCCATCATTGGTGTCAGTGGGAGGAATAGTGCCTCATCATTGGTGTCAGTGGGAGGAATAGTGCCTCATCATTGGTGTCAGTGGGAGGAATAGTGCCTCATCATTGGTGTCAGTGGGAGGAATAGTGGCCCAACATTGGTTTCAGTGGAGGAATAGTGTCCCAACATTGGTGTCAGTGGGGGGTGGAATAGTGCCCCATCATTGGTGTCAGTGGGGGGAGGAAAAGTGCCCCATTGTAGGTGTCAATGGGAGGAATAATGCCCCATCATTGGTATCAGTGACACCAACGATGGGGCACTATTCCTCCCACTGACACCAATTACACTTGCTGACCCCTGTTCTAGTATGGTGCTGCTGCAGCCAGCATATGTGGTTGCAGTAGCACCTCTGCACGGCACACTTACCGGCCGCTCCTTCACTCAATTTTTGCGGGGCCCGTCGGCTCCGCCTCCTCGCCGGTGATTGGCCACCTGTGTGCCTTTCCTGAGCTACAGTTCTGGCGGCCAATCACCGGTGAGGAGGCGGAGCCGAGCAGCCGCGCGAACATCCAGGGGCCGAACCGAATGAAGGAGCAGCCGCGCTTCCTGGACTGGATCATCGTGGGACCTGAGCCAGGTATGAGACAGCAGCCCCTGCCCACCCCTGTACTTAGTGTCCCTTCCGTTGGAAGGGGGGCGGCGGCACCGGCACCGCCGCGCCGCCCCCCTAAAAAGTGTCAGCATGCCGTATACCGGCGTATAATATGACCCCCGACTTTTGAGAAGATATTTTCAAGGGGTAAAAAGTCATCTTATACGCCGGAAAATACGGTAACTGTGTCTCTATGTCAGAAGTAGATGTGAGCATTACAATAAAGAACAACGTATTTGTGCTTCTCATAGTTATTAATAAATATCTATACAGAGTATTTGGGGTTGGTAGTCTCTCCTGATCCTAACAGTATATTTCTCAATCTTTTACCTCTACTCCATCAGCAGAAATTGAAGTGTAACAGTTGGTGCAAACTCCCTCTGTTGATGGTGGGTAGGGTAAATTTAATTAAAATGATTTGGGACCCGCAGCTTCTTTATATCTTTCAAAATTCTCCCATATGGATTCCTAAGAAATGGTTTCATCGCGTAGAGACCCAGTTTAGGAGTCTTATTTGGAAAAAAACAGGCATCTAGGATAAAATTGTCCACGTTGCAATATGGCAAGGAGTCGGGGCTGGCGGTTCCTGAGCCTAGACTTTATTTTCTGGTGGCCCAATTGCAGCAATTGGTTGGTTGGAATTCACCTGATAATACTGATCCCATTATAAGTTTGATTTCCCTTCCTGATTCCACCATTTCGGCTCTTTCTCATCTTGAGATGGCTCTACCGGTCCTCCTTCCATCCACGGCTCCAACCGCGGAGCTCTTGAGGCACGTATGGAGTACGGTAAAAGCATCCTTTCATATTACCGGCTTTCTTTCTTGTACTCCCTTGTGGACCAGTTCACAATATATAGAACTATCTAAACTGGAGGGTTTTCACAAAATTTATGAAATGAAATTTATATCTCAGCTGTATTCAGGGGTAATCCTAAAGTCCTTTTAACAACTGCAAATGGAATTTACATTTACACATAAGCATTTTAATCGATATCTTCAGCTAAGCCATGTGGTACAGGCTCAGTCTTCACTCTCTAATCTCACATTGACAGACTCAGTTTTTCTTAAGGATGTCACTTAGGCAACCCATAAGAAGGCATGCATGATTTCTCCGGGGTAGGGTGCACTGGTCCCAGGATATTGGAGAGTTTGCTGAAGATGTTTGGGATGCTGCCCTGGAATCTGTTCTGGTGATTTCTCTTTCTCCCACTCATAAATTGTCTCAATTATTTATTCTCCATCGAGCGTATAGGACTCCTGTGCAACTGTATCGGTGGGGCAGGCGTGATCACATCTGATTGTCCGAGGTGTAGGGCCCAACAGGGCGATTTCATTCATATGCTCTGGCACTGCCCCAAGTTACACAGACATTGGAGTGAGGTTCTCCAGTTTATTTCCCCAGTATCGCAATATACTATTTCCTAGGATCCCTTGCAATGTCTGCTGGGGGCACTGGACCAAGAACTGTTCCAACCAGGAGTGTTTTATGGTATCTAGACTTTTATATCTGGCTAGAAAGTTGATAGTAAGGTACTGGTTATCGTCGGCTCCCCCCGACTAGTAAGCAATAGATAGATTATGTCAATTCGTTACTCCCGAGGGAAAAATTCACAAACCAACATCGCAATGCTTATCGTAAATTCCAGCAGGTACGGCAGGGTTGGCTGGATACACCTGAGCTCGACCCTCCTCAATTGATAGCGGACCGATTTTTGCAGGTGTCACATTTTTATATCATGTGTGTGGCTCCACTCCTTCCCTTAGGGGAGTTCATGTGCATCCCCTATTTTCTCTGATGAGATGTCTCGGGTGAACCAAATGTTGTTGTTGATGTGTTTTTTTTTTTTTTTTTTTTGTTTGAAGGCATGTTTTGGGCTTTGTTCCTTTCCCCCATTTATGTTTACATCTGACAGGAAGGAATAAAAGGTAAAAAGGAAAAATCAAGGTATTGTCAAGAAGGCTTTGGATCCTTGTGGTCTCTGTTTTGTTTGATTACTATTTCTGTTATTCTGTCCATTATGGGATCTGCGTATCCACATTGTTCTATGTATGTGTAATCCTGTTGATGCAGTAATGTCACTGTGGATTCTGTAAGTACTGTTCCATATTCTTTATTATCTTGACAATAAAAGTTGTTTGGATTTAAAAAAAAAATATCTATACAGATTAGATATACATGTACACATATAGTAGTGTGCTGTTCACAGTTTCTCAGTGCGGCTGTAAAAAGGCCATGCTGTCCTGGTTGACTTTTCATCCAGAGTATCTCGACAATTTCTTTTCATTGAAGTACGCAGTGCAGAACAACTTAGCATTGGATCTATTTGTTATAGCTGTCAAAGAAATGAGTATCCTGTAATAGAATACAGTTTACAGGGCAGTATGACCACATAGGACGCTGGCACCTTTCCAGGGTTATACAAATACCAAGTGGGAAAGCTTTTCGTTAAAACTACACTATGTGAATAAAATCTAACATTATAATACACCATTGCACAATAACCATTTACAAGCTGTTACCCAGGATGTGATAAAAACAAACACCCAATTGTTAATTCTTTCGTTTTTAAAGGGTCATTTAATATAGTATTGCCAAATAACCCATAAAGTGGACAAAATCTAGTTTTCTTCTATATTATTGAGGAATGCCAGATTTTTTTCTGTTGTTTTTTGCATCTGTTTTGAATAGCTAGGGAAGGAAGGATTAAAATCTCTGTTGGGATTTTTTGTTGTCAATGTTGGGGCGATCTCTCTTCACCAGGTTCCCTTACAGTAATTTAAACTATAATTCTATGTTCACTTTAAATAGTTTGTTTGGGCCAAATTGGCCCAAATAAACAATGTGGATTACAGAATGATGTGGCTGCTGAGTGTTTTGTAATGGACTGTAGTAGTATTAGCTATATACAGTAAGCAGCGCTGGGTTCCTCCAGCACTGCACGTGACTTCCTGATATAAGAAGAGTCGGGCTTACTGCTTCTCTGTTGTTCAGTTGATGCCATGCTTTTTTGTCAATGAATACAAGGCTTCTCTTGGCCAAGGTGGAGAGGAGGGCAGATAATGTACATTACAGCTAATCAGAAGCCTTGAGCATCTTGAAAAAAATGCAAGACTATTCGTGAATAATCAAGAAGCACTAAGCAGCAGCAGACAGTACAGCATAGACAGTAAACAGAGAAGCAGTAGACTGATGAGCTTTTCTCTTAGTCATTCTGCATTCTCCTCCTATCAGCAAGCTCCTTGCACCCCAGCACAACTGATTAGCTCCCTGCGCTGCTACTCCTTCTACCAATGAAAGTCAATTCTATGTACTTGCATTGAAACACACACAGATCCGTTGCTCCACTCAAGACTGGCCACTCATATACATAGACAGTCTAGGTGCTGGCCACTATAGTCCATTTCTACTCTCATTAAAAATTTGAAAGAATATCAACCACACTCTGCTCCTCTTAGTGTATTTTTAAATAGTCAATTAATTGACTGCATACAGCAATGTTTCCACTCAAGAATCAACCTTCCTTGAAACGGTTCACCACTCCTGGCTGGCCCCCCAAGGATTGGGAAAGTCCTTGTGACAAGTCCTTGTATTTGCTGACACTACTTGCAATAAAAATTTGTTAAATTATGTGTTTATGAATACAGAGCTTTATTATTTTGTGTCTTTTATATCTGCTTAGAGTTCAGCTTTAAATTGCAATCGATAACATTTTGTTACATGGTAGGTACCCATACTTCAAGAGTTAAATGATCATTTATAACTAAGGGACAAGAAAAACAGTTTTACTTACCCAATCTTCTACTCCCTCAGCAAAAAGCATTCCCCTACGCTCAGCATCCCCAGGTCTAATCCAAGGTATGAGCCCTGTGTCAGTCTAGATGATGTCAGAGGGCATCCGACTGCAGGAGTACAACAGGGGAGGAGACTGTAGGGAAGGTCTTGCGGCATAAAGGAACTTGCAGGATCAGGTATGGAAAAAACGCTGTTCTCGGTCCCCTAGACATAAACAAGCATTTAACCCTTGCAGTGTGGAAAAGTTTTACTTTTCCTGGAGTTCAGCTTTAAAGTGGTTGTAAACCTCTGACATGAAATTTGAACAAGACATATCTGTCTATAGTGTGTACTTGTGTAGCACCCTCTAGTGTGCTACTAGAATAGTTTAGTGTATTGCAGGTAAAATCATTATGTATGACCCATGGTAACTGTGTAAGTCTGTGATTGAGGTTGGGTTATTGCATGTCAGCTGGATGAATTCACAGGTTGTGGCTCTATCACCTCCTCCTGACTCTGGAGGACCAGAGAACCTTCCAGAAGTCTGTAAGCAGGAAGGGGTGGAGGCCTAATCTGCATGTTTATGGTAGTCTGGCTAATCCCAGGTTTGGAGGCCCTGGTAGAGTGATGGACTGGCCCATAAATATGGGAGAGTCAGGCTGACAGGGGAGTCAGGTGGAAGATGGAGTGCTGAGGAGGGGGGGGGGGGGCAGCGGCCTCCAGGCTGGGGTCGGGGCTGACTCAGGAGGATACATTCAGCAGTGCAGCGTGAATGGGATCGAGACCTGGAGCAGTGGGAGTAAAGGGGACAAAGTGAGTACATCAGCATCCCCTGGGATCCACAAGGGAAAAGACTGCAACATGTAGCAAGCTCTCTAAGGACAGTGTTGAGCTCTATCCTTTATCCTTGTCCTGGGT